CTAAACTAAACAGAATTTCTGGTTACTTCATTTTCATCCTTACTGAAATCAGCACAAGTGTATCTCTAGAATCATTTACACTTTTCAACGTAGATAAATTAATATGATCAATATTGAGCAGTGAAAGCCTAAATCTTTGTTTTAAGCTGTATTCTAATTTTTCAATTTCACTTGTTAAAACTGCAATTTCCGAATCAAACAGATTATCTGCCATTTCAATATCAACTGACTTAATGTTCCTTTTTACTTAAAACATGTACTATACTTTGACTACAAACGCAACACACAAATAACTTTGAAATATTACAACAACTTTCAATCATATGCGAATTTACAGTAACGAAGTAAACAAATGAAATCCCACCGCTGCCACCAAATTTGTAACGTGTAACGGGCGATCAATGGATCCGTATCTGAATAAATCAGGATTTCAAGTGTTCAACTCAATTTTTCACCACAACCAGTTGTCCTATCAAAACAATCAACACATCCATAAATGGATTTACAACGCAAAATATATACAATGTACATAAATCAAAATGCAAGGTGAAGTACCTCATTCACAATGCATAAACACACTGTATCATAACAGAATATATATACACAATGTCACTATGCAATCACTATGCAACATGTATCAGACCGATTTATTCACAATGTCACTAACAGATTACAATGTAACATGCATACGGCCCTTTATTACACAATGTCACCAACAGATTACTTTGCAACATGCATCAAGTAAATATCACACAAAACGTATGAACACAAAATCACATATATACAACTTCTATTTACAAAGTCCACCCATATGTAGTATCACCTTGTTAGTCTGCAACTAACCACAATAACACAATGACACAATTACACACGCACAAATCCTTCAATGCACAAGGAATATATATATATAAACACAGCTGAACTCACGCACTAACTATCCCTTTGAGTTCCCACACAATGAATATTATCCAAACTGGTAAGGTTTAACACAGTGCACTTTCACTAATACACTTCCACAATATTACAACACCAGCAAGTATACACCTTGTATTCTCACTAATACAAATCTATGAAGTATCCACATTTCCACATAGTACAACTTGCAACACCAGCAAGTATACAAATAACTTATTATATAAGTTTCACTTTATATCACAATCACTATTGCAATATCCACATATAAATCCGAACACTATTCATATATATCCGTTGGAATCACTTAATTCACTCTACTTACCAGTTGGAAAATAATCCCTGATGTTATCACTTCAACGGTCCACATAAAACTGACAGAGTTTCTCTGTCTTGGGCTGGTTTATAAACTACCATCTGGATCAGTCCATTATACTTAAAGGGGTGAAAATCAAGACTATACCAACTTTAGGGGTGTTTTAAGTAACATATGGTGCTCCAACTATGGAGAAACTTATATACATATAGAAACACAATAAATAGGAAAAGACAACTGGTATTTCACATCAAAATAAATGAACTATGACCGATTTCCGTTACATTATGTATAATCCCTGACATTTTTTGTAGTGATAATGCATAATTCCTGAACATTTTAGAAATTATATATAATCACTAAAGTTACCAATGATTTAACATAATCCCTGGAAATTTCAGGGATTATACATACTCCCTAATTCTACAAATTCACTGTAACATATATACAAATTAAAAATAACTTCACTTTGCATGAGATCTGAAAACAAATATCCTTATATTTCTAAATTAAACTTAACAAAATTTATTCGAAGAACTGACCAAACGCTTTCGTTAATATTATTATATACAAAGCTGTTGTTTTTCATTATCAGCAATATCACCCTCCATTAATTATTTTATGATATTATTTGTTTTTCTAATTGTCAATTTTGTGAATTTTACAATTGAGATTAACATTATCCATACACTATGTTTTGATATATCGTTTTAATAGTTTGTAGCTTCTTCTGATTCATTCTGTGTTCAGATAGCGTCTACTTTTACATTTGCTCAATTTGGATTAGTTAAATTCATTCAATGTTAAATTTTTATATTTATTGTGGGTTTAAAGAATTAAAAATTTAGTAAATCCTACTTCTCCGCTCAACACATAGTATTTTTCTTTTCTTTCTTTCCTAGTATTTTTTTATACCGTCTGTGTTGCTGGTATTGTACAATGAGCACTTGCGCAAATTTAAACAATCCTAAAATAGGAGTAAAATAACAAAAATACCGAACTCCAAGGAAAAATCAAATTGGAAAGACCCTTATCAAAAGCTGAAACACATCAAACGAATGAAAAACAACTGTCATATTCCTGACTATGTACAGGCATTTCCTCATGTAGAATATTGTGGATTAAACCTGGTTTTATAGCTAGCTAAACCTCTCACTTGTTGACAGTCGCATAAACAAGTCTTAGCCCATTTTGCAACAAAGCATGGAAGTAACACATTCATCGGCGACTCGAGAACGTATTTAACATATTGCTGCAGAGGCGAAAATATCAATAAAATGCTTTTTCTATTTACTATGCTTTATTCTATTTAATATTGTATAAAAATTTTAAAAGTAGCTCTATTTATTAAACTTATATAAGTTAGTACTTAATTGAAATTTTAAAAACCGAAATAAACAAATATCAATGCTGGTTACACTAAAACTTTTACTGGCGATATGGTTGTAGATGAACGTATTCAACAACGTCTGAAATGAAAACTGCCACTGAATACCACAATTTCCCCATATGAATTATCTCGCTTGCTAAATTACTCTAGAAACCTGCACAAGGTTCGTTTAATATATCTGTATAATAAATGTTCAACTACAAATGATTTAGTTTTCTCATGTCTATGTTTTAACGACCGGTACTGAAATCGTGAAAAATATCATGAAAAGACTTATGTTTACAGTATTAACCATGTCTACATTGGGAAAACTATTTAAAAGTCTTCGACAAGCTATGATCTTGTTAAGTTCAGCTTTGTTTCCCTGACAGGTATTAGTCATCTTCTCAATATACTTCCGAAAAACATAAGCTAGCAGAGACACTAGAATCCACCAGCGACATTGCGGTTCCGTGATTGAATTGAATACTATTTTTAATACGCTTTGGATTTTCAAATATTTTTGCCTCCAACCTTTTTGAAGAGACATTTGTTGTCGAAATTTGCATGTGGTGCAAACAATTTTGTACCTTTAATGTTATTATTGTTAAAAATACCTTCCTATTTGATAAAAAGGGTATTTTGCTAAATCTTAGCTTCACGTTTTAAGTAAATTCAAATAGTTTGATAATAACAATTACCCTTTCTGAGCCCAATTACCTTTACTAATTTACAAACGACACTTTTAAAAATGAAATATTTCTACTGGTTGATTTTTTAAATCTTCAAAAAGAGAGTGTAACAGGCAATTGAATTGAAATAAACTTACAAACTGAAGTGAAATCTAAGTTATAAGATTACTTTTCGTTTTTGTGAATACGACAGTTTGCTTCAAAAAGGTCTAGCTAATTAGCCGCTCGGCAGATAAGTTTTCATTCTTGCATAATAAATGAGCTTTGGTCTAACAGCTGAACTTGTTTTTCTCACTAAGTTACAATCACCTAAGTACTGAATCGAAACTTTTTTTCCATTGATATCTATAAAGTTTTCAATATCTAATTTCTAATCTGCTTAACATAAGGAGTACGAGGACCATGACTTATGTTTCTGGATACTGCTAGCAAACTTATGTTATTTGATATCTGTTATTGACATCTATAATAAATAGAACTTGTTGAAACGTGAACCAACATTAAAAACGCCTAATATTATTTTTGATAAGTTTAGATTTTTAAACGACGTACCCAAAATATAGTTATAGGAAAATACAGATTGAGGTCTGGAGCTGGCATATCAGCAACTGCTAGTTGTCCTTTGCTAATTTATGTATCATTGTCATTTTGCTTAGTTTCTTTTGTTACCTATTCTGACATCGGACTCGGACTTCTTTTAAACTGAGTTTTACTGTGCGTATTAATGTGTGTTTGTGTTTTTTTACATTAGCTAGAGGTATAGGGGGAGGGTTGAGATCTCACAAAACATGTTTAACCTTGCCACATTTTTGCGCCTGTCCCAAGTCAGGAGCCTCTGGCCTTTGTTAGTCTTGAATGATTTTTTAACTGCTAGTTGTCTTTTGTTAATTTATGTATCATTGTCATTTTGCTTAGTTTCTTTTGTTACCTATTCTGACATCGGACTCGGACTTCTTTTAAACTGAGTTTCACTGTGCGTATTGCTGTGTGTTTGTGTTTTTTTACATTAGCTAGAGGTATAGGGGGAGGGTTGAGATCTCAAAAACATGTTTAACCCTGCCGCATTTTTGCGCCTGTCCAAAGTTAGGAGCCTCTGGCCTTTGTTAGTCTTGTATGAATTTTTAACTGCTAGTTGTCCTTTGTTAATTTATGTATCATTGTCATTTTGCTTAGTTTCTTTTGTTACCTATTCTGACATCGGACTCGGACTTCTTTTAAACTTAGTTTAACTGTGCGTATTGCTGTGTGTGTTTTTTTTTTTTTTTTTTATTACATTGGCTAGAGGTTTAGGGGGAGGGTTTAGATCTCACAAAACATGTTTAACCCTGTCGCATTTTTTGCGCCTATCCCAAGTCAGGAGCCTCTGGCCTTTGTTAGTCTTGTATGATTTTTAATTTTAGTTCATTTATATGTTTGGAGTTTAGTATGACGTCCATTTTCAATGAACTAGTACATAATTGTGTTTGGGGGCCAGCTGAAGACCCCCTCCGGGTGTGTGATTTTCTCACTGTGTTGAAGACCAATTCGTGGCCTTCGGCCGTTTTCTTTCTGCTCTTTGGTCGGGTTGTTGCCTCTTTGACACATTCCCTATTTCCATTCTCATTTTTATAGGAATTGTCTGTGACTTTAGCATAGATAACTAAATATTGAGCTAGCATATAGAATATATTACAATTTCTCCTATATTACTAGATAAGTTTCTTTGTTTCAGGAAGAACTATTTGAATCGAACCCGTATGACCCAAAACTAAACCAAAGGCTTTGTCCACCGTATGTGACAGATATTTTTCATTCCGATAAAATTGAATTGATATGGGATTCACTTCGGCCTTTGACCGATGAAGAAGCATTTCAAGTATCATACAGAGACAGCAACGGCAAATGGAAAACCGTTGATAAAACAACAAATAAAACAATTATGACAATAAGGGGACTAAAGGCAGAAACATCATATTTCTTTAGGGTAAGACTAATCAATGACACTACAGGAGAAGAAGGACAATACAGTATGCAGAGCGACGCAATACTAACAGGAAAATCATCAGCTCTTGAAATAAAAAAAAAATCTTCACTCTTAAAAAATTCGACTCCTCCCGTGTACCAGCTGCCAATTAAAGAAGATACAACGGCTCGTAATCCTTCAGCTAAAACAAGAAAATTTGTATTAGGTATGGTTTACCGAGAAATTACAAACATGAACTAGAATAAAAAAAAAAAACGTTTTAAAATCGAGTATCCACTTTAAATTAATAGTTACCATCAATGTTTCTTATAACAAATATGGCATATATAGCTCGAAAACTTGAAATCTTATCATTTCTATTAGTTTAACAAAACCTTTTAATATTATAAAGTATATTTTTTGTCAAATTATTATATGTAAGAATAAGATATAGTCGACAATAAATGAGAAATACTATAGGTGACACCGCAAACTCGCGATTGTCCGCATTACTTTGTATTCTTAAGCTGTGTCATTTTTTCATATCATTTATGGAAGTTTCATTGAGGAATGTGTGTATAAAGTCATGTAAGCATACATTTGTACATGTAGCTTTACATAGCTTATGGAATGTTTGTTGAAGTGCATTTTTGAATGTTGAATTTTGTTGAAGGAATATTATAACATATACCAAATATACAATTTCAGGTAGTAACTTGTATTTTTCTATGCAGGAGCTTACATGCATGTGATAAGTGGTTTACCAGTATCAATTACTTAATATACATTTTCATTGTAGATCTTCCGTATAAAAGATTGTTAAGCACCTCTAATGTGAACTTCCTAATCGTGTACAAATACTGTTTAAGTAAGAACCATAACTGAAAGTTCATATTGTTTTTTTTTTGTTTTTTTTAATTATATTTCGTATTCACAGGTGATTCACAACATTTACCTGTGGCGGAGGAAAAAACAATAATGATTGTTGGAGCTACAGGATCTGGCAAGAGTACCTTAATTAACGCAATGGCCAACTATGTATTTGGTGTGACATGGGAGGATTGCTTTCGATTTAGTCTTGTTGATTTAGAGCCAAGTGAAGCTAAAAGACAAGTCGATCAGGTAATTTTGTTGTTACGACAGCTCCCCAATCAACAACAAACAACGCATGGTTAAATGCAATTTATACGGCATACATAATCATGGTTTCTTAGAAATAATGAATTACGAGTTCGTATAAAATAGAAATGCTATGTTTTAAGCTAAGCCTTACATCGATGTAAAAGTGTTTAATTCTTTAAAGTTTAACACAAGGGCATATTATATAATATTATTCAAAATACAACCTGATATTTGCTTACAATACAAATACAAACACGGAATACAAGTCGTTTCAAAAAGATCATATGTTTTACTTTGTTCGAAAAAAATGTACCAAATGTGTCAACAGATTGCTAAAAAGTGTACATGCGCGCGGGTACGCCTTCAGATAGCATCATTGCCAGTGTGTCTTAATATGTCCTCTTAGAAGACTTGTATAGCTGACTATGCGATATTGGTTTTATTCATTGTTGAAGGCTATACGGTGATCTATAGTTGTTCATTTCTGTGTCATTTGGTCTCATGTGGAGAGTTGTCTCATTGGCAATCATACCACTTCTTCTTATTTTTATATTGACTGTTTAAATATTTTTGGCACAATAAAAATTGTGTGTTTTGTAAAATTCAATCATTTACCTGCATACCTGTAATACATATGCAAACGGCAATGAACCTTTTTTTCTGCACAACTTCCGATATAATTTACACATTAATGTCATTGCGACTTTTATACAAATTATTTACCGGATATATATTTAATGTTGAAATAAGAGAATGTAATCCAAAATTAACGGCTGTTACTTAAGTGAATAATTCCTAAAGTGTCATATACATTTTTAAAAAAAGTCATTTTAAAGATGGGTACAGTTCTGACCTGTACAGCTAATTAACATGATGGCCAGACTTTGTGACTAGTAAAAGTTAACTTGGGACAGGATTTATGACTGCTCCTCGGACAAAATTCATATTAACTTAAAAAGCAGACTTGGTCCTAGGACTGTCCGAAAAGTTAACTTGATGACAGGTCCAACACTGAGGTTAACTCTTGACGAAGTTAACTTTGCCACAACCACTCCTACACACAAGTAAACTTCTGATCAGGTCTGCGTTTAAAAACGATATTATAGATCTGGAATGCTCTGTCCGAACCAGACCTATTCTGATAAAAGTTAACTTTGGTCTGGTCTGCTCAAAGATAAAGTTAACTAGTAAACAAAAACGATTTGATTGATGAATATCATTTTAGTATCATCACATGCATGTATCAACAAGTTTGGTAAAAACAGATACAGTATATCAATGTGACTGATTAATAAACAGACATGTCCCATGACTGACATGACTGGTTTGTCAAATAGCAGATTTGTCCACAGAACAGGTTAACAGCATACCCGTTCATATTGATACATATGGGTGCAGTCCGAACCTGTAAAAAAGTTACTTTAGAGCAGTCATCGCTCGTAGTTAACTTTAGAAAATTTCAGCAGACCTGTAAGTTAACTTAGGTCTGCTTTGTCGGACTGCTGTATCAATGACATTTTGGGATTAAGAGACAATTACAAAACAAAAGGGGCATTCAAAATCATAAATCGAAGACCAACTGACAACGCCACAGTAAGAAGAATCCCTAAATTTCTATCATTAATATTTTGTTCGTTACATTGACTTTAAGAAAAGGGAGATATTTTGTATGGCCTATGTATCACTATTTTATATAAGGAATGTACAAATGAATGTAAAATTATCAGCGCTGTGATGAACAGAAAGAGTCTAAACAAAGAGACACAAATCTTACGTTCTATGAAAAAAGACATCTTATAAAAAACAGCAGAAGACTAACAACAATAACAATTATAAAATCTAGTGATTGAGTAACGATCCCTCTAAAATCTTGGGATTAATTCAGTTTGTTGTTTAAACCGTAAGTAGAGGATAGCAATGGATCGTACTTGCTTGTGGTTGACTAGGATAAAGACGTTTGAATTTTCCTGTTTACCAGAACGTTGGTGGTTTATAAATATAATGTTCAATTTTGCGGCATTAACAGTTTTAAAGCAGTCATAATGTTTGAGAGTGGCATTACGTTTGAAATTCGTAAATATTTATTACAAATGGCTCTTTTTCAAATAAAATTTTCGTCCCTACCATATATATACGTTTATAATTAGTTTCTTTTTAACGACATGCATAACGTCAACCAAATCTGAAGCCAAAAATTGATTAACTTGTTAAATTGTATTTGTCTTGTATAGCAGATATAGGAAATACTTTTGTCAAAAGACATTTTACAAACATTAATCGATTAACGAAATACAAGCTTTGCTTTTATTCAATACTTTTGTTTGTTTTCCTGTTTATTATCATTTCGATTCGATCTTAAGGATGTTCGCTACTCTTTTTCAAAATAACAAGTTTTTTAAAAGACTGTTATAAATTGATAGTATATAAATAAAGGGACTAAAAAAGCAGAAAAAATGAAGGGTCCGTGTGCTTGTTTTGAAGATATAAGTCATTGAAAATTTGGCGGGAAATAATTCTCTCTAGACTTTTCATACATTTAACATTGGCACCCTTTTTCTTACAAAAATTATGAAAAAATAAGAAGAATTTAATAGCATTTTCAAATATGGCTTTTTAAACTATATATAATAAAATCATGAAATGAAAAGTAGGGGTTAGCGGGAAAAAATTTTTAATGGCACTACATGGATAAAACTAGAGGATTCCGAATATCTGGCAAAAATTCAAAAACAAGAGGAGCGAACATCCTTAAACAACATTATTACACGAACCTGACTTCGGTTTCAGAACAGGCGTCGTTTTGGGTGCATACAAATTTGTTATGTACCTATTATTCTTAACGTTAGACAACAAAATAATGTTTTGTAACATATATATACTATATAACAACCAGACTCAAGCTAGCGACCAATTCCAGCGACCACTAAAGTTAACAATGAGAATCAACATGTTAAAGAACCTTACCGTGATATCTCTGAAAATCACAACTTGACATAACATTACAACGTTCCACTGACAAAGAATATAAAGCTATCAATACTTATCGCTTTTTAATGATTAATTGACCATAGCTGTCTGCATTTGCGATAAATAGGGGACAGAACAATACATACGTATACGTTTTAGAAAGGAAAAAGAATATTATTTTTTTTAAGGATTATTTTGTATTTAAATCCAATTTACTTGAGTAGCGTTCTTGCTCACGGCTAATGCTATAAATCAGTAAGTCGAGTCTAGTAGATCAGATATTCGATGATTTGTTATTGCGTGTCATCTAAAAATATGTATTATGGTATGGTATACGAATCGACATATTCGTTCCTTGCCAAGAGAAAACAAGATAAAACACAAAACAAAACAAAAACAAAAACAAAAACAGATATTTGAGCAGAAACATAAAGACAAGTTCAGGAAACACAATTATCTGGAAGTCGATTAGGTTGCAGTTTTTAAACTTTCATTTGTAACTTGTGACAATTACTACAAAGAGTATAGATGAACTAAATGCCACCTTCGTACATAACTGCTAAACCATGACTAGTGAACGATTGCCATAATTCTCTATTAATAAGCATACACAATATGAATAAGATATTTGATTCAAAGTTTTACGTCTTACGCTATATCATATCATACCAGCTAAGAAGGGAAAAACATAGACGAATAAACGAATACAAAAAACAGACACATAAAGTAAACACTAAACAGTTTAAAGACAATACATTATTACACGAAATTCATTATTGCTAAAAGAAAACAACCATGTGAACTTTCAATTTTGCTTCAAAATGCACCGAACAGCAATATATGTAGCGGACTAGCGTTTTGAGTTTATGGACATATGTAAAATCTGTTCAAGTATATGTTAACTACTGTATATTATATAGACTCTTCAACTTCAATTTTCAGTAGGATTGGACAACATTCAGAATGCCAAATGACACAGTGTAAATTTGTCCATTCACTTTTGAACGTCGTCAACTGAAATTAAGTTTAAACTAGGAAACTACACAAGAATTCAATAACTTCGAATTCCTTTATTATTCAAAGTTGTATTAATTTTTGAAAGAACCGTTGGTAAAGAAGACAACGTTACTTTCTTTGAATAGCGTAATTTAATTTTCATTAATCTAGATCAATATTAAATGCGCTGGTTGTCCAATTTTATCCTTTCCTCAAAGTTCTGATTCGCAAGACCTCTCATTTAAGGAGACATGAAACGATTTTCAATTTTTGTTTCAAAATGTTTATACATAATTTTCCCCAAAAATACATAGATAGCAATATAGGTGTCAAATATTTGGTAAAATATGTATTTTAATGCAACGATTTATCGACCTGTCAAATATGCATATTTCCATCCCGGAAGTCACTCAGAACGAGGCTACTACGTCAGTGGTTCCTATCATTCATATTTACATAAGGGTACAGCGCAAATTTAGTTTCGATCATTATCCAACAAAATGCATGACAGTGATAAACAATGATTATATGTGATGTCGATGGATTCAACAATGTAATCAAAAAGAATAGTGACATGATATTTTTCTGTTTTTCGAATGATGCGCAAACTTAGAACGTGTAAAGATGGGACTTTTTAACAACATTAAACTACACTTCTTTCCGCCCACTTTCATAGGAATCCATGCCATGTGTTCATCATAGGCCACAGGAGTGCGGTACAGGTGATTGATTTTCTCAATTTCAGGTCTCGTTTGAAGTTGTTAGCTTCAGGTGTCACGACACATTGGTGATTGATAAGACATAGTTATTACGCAATATTACTTCATAAGCTCTTTGTGTCCATCCTTGATATAGGGTTTTTTTTTGTAATTTGTTTATTTTTGACATAAAGACAGAAAACAATCAAGCAGGATTACACACATGTACAGTTATAAATATGGTCTTAAAGATATCATATTACTTCACCTCTAAATAGCAAGACATAAAACAAAATATAACTCTAATTTTTGTACTAGTTATGAAATATTTAAATCGCC